ATGAAATTCTGTGTGCGCCTCTTCGCCTCTTCCATCATCATCATTTTCTGGGGCCCCAGAGAGAAATGTGCGCTGCACAGATATCAAATGGGGCGCGCACAAGAAGTGAATATATATCGTGTAATTGCCACGTTTTTCGGGTTGTTATGATACATTCCGCGCACTCAACTTGCAAACCGTGTGATGTGCAATGAGGTGTTTTACATCCAGAGAAAGGAGCAATTTTTGTTGCACTTTAACACTCTTGATCATCCCATGAGAGCATCAAGTTTTTCTTTCACACCAACTTTGTGCGCCCCAGAGCACATTTCTCAGTTGACTGTGCGCATCTTCGTGAGTGCTTCACCTGGAATTGGCTAGAATCCTCAGCGAATTAACTGCCATAAATTTTGCATCCAGCGATGCAGCATTTTTTTTTCACCAGTCCAGTTTGGAGGTGAATCATTTTATAGGTCACCATATTTTTTTTACGCCGCGTGTGCACTATATTAAAGCTTTCTCATTCACACGATAAATGGAGTGGGATTTGAGCGCATAAACAACGCGGCTTATGTTGAAAAAAAAAGCAACAACCACAAAGAGAGATTGAGAGACTCACAAAATGGTTCAAAATAACACACAGAAACAAGAGGGAGAAAAAAGAGAAAGAGTTTAAAAGTCAGAAATAAAATTATAGTTTTGATTTGATTTCATGATGATTTATAATTTTTCGCATTCATGTGAGAGACTTTCGTGCATCCTTCTCTTTCCCATCCTTCTGTGCTATGTTTTGACTTGGACTGCCATGCGAAAGGATGAGCAGAGGCGTAGTCGTTAGCTTAGATAAATCATTATAAATCGTTTGTTATATTTAAAATAATAAAGACTCCTAAAAAAATAATCAAAAAAATGTTATTTTCAAAGTAAAATTGGAAAATATATGAATAAATTTAATATTATTTTATTATTTTCAGAATATTAATGAAAAAATTAAACAATTAAGTAGCAAAAAGTCACAAAATTCGCCAAAAGTTGGATTCGAACACCTAAAATTGAGAGGAAATACAATCGGAACTCCAACATGCCTTTAAAGTATAAATCACTGCCCTCTGACGGCGATATATGGAGAAAAAAAAATTGGAAAATGATAAAATATTTAAATTTGTTAATGTTCTGATATCGCGACTGACTTTTTCCTTGCAATAAGAATCAAGATATGAATTAGGTTTCTCGTATTTGAGCTGAAATCAGTAAGAAAACCTCGATAGGAAGTTATTGGAATTGATATCATTTGACCACCTGCTTAAGCTAGAACAAGACACAATTTAGGAGACAATTCAAGACACAATTTCACCCTTCTGGCCTACGGCACTGCTGGCCATGGATCACCGCAGTTTTTGACGCGTTCACGAAAAGTCTTGGGCAAAAAGGCATTTGGCGATCATTTCATTCGCGGCGGCACATGATGAACATCTTTTCTGCATTCCACAATAGCTGGGGAATAAATCAAATTATAAATATATTTCGGGGGCTGCCGGGGGGCGACTGGCGGGAGAATTAATATAGCAATCTGTTGTGCAGAAGTCCTCCAGACGTTGAAAAAAACTCACGCGATTTTATTAAATGGCCCCTCAATTCGATTTTTGCTATCTGTGCAGGAGTCTTCGTCTTTGTGTTGGAAAGTCACTGTCTAGTCCTCTCGCGCAGCTGAACTAATTTATATTCTGGAAATTCACTCATGGCCTGAGATAAGTAAGTTTGTCACAAAAATATTTTCAACTCCCTTTTGCCGGCGTGTTTGCTGTGCAGAAGAAATTCTGAAGACGAAGACGCGGAAGATGCAATGAAAAGTGTCCATGAGATGTTCAAGTGATAGACATAAAGTCAGAATTGTATACTCGCATTTCCGCCCAGTGTTTTGTCATAATTGAAAGTTTTTCCCTTTTTGCCAAGAAGTTTTTCATGCTTCACCACTTTGCAACAATTGTGAATCCGCGCGCGCGATGGACAAAAAAAAAGAAAGGATCAGAAGAAGAGGCAAAAAGTATGAAAGAGAGAAACTTTTATGCATTGAAATTAATTTTGTGTTCATCCATAAATTTATAATTTTCATCAAAATGACGGCGAAAATTTACGATTCTACCTGTTCCGAGCAATAAAATATATAAATGCGCGCGCGGAAGAGACATAAAAAGCCAAAGAAGTAAGAATTGGTGGTGTCAAGATTTCTCAAAATGTCAAACAGTGCACTTTTATTTGCATATAACCAGAAGAGGGATACTTAAGTTTCGTCATGTCTTTGACAAGTAAGGAAATGCAGCTGCAGGGATTGAGTTGAGAAACTCCTTATTGATGTTTTCTCGGTATTTTCTGTGTATCTTTAGAAGCTTAGTAAATATTACACAGGATTTTCACTTAAATTTGTGCTCCACATAAGTGGGGAAAACTTAAATACGTTCAATTGCTGACCATCAGAAGTGGAATTCAATGGAAATTCTCATTTCTCGGACAATTTAAGCTCCAATAGACAGAATTTTCAATTGCCATCGAACGCGTGGAATTATTTCGCGTCAATGTTGAGAAACTGTGGCAACACGCGAATGGTTCTGGAGACAAGAAAGAGCTGACAGAGTGAGAAGGAATAATTCTCTGACTGTATATGAATATAATAATAGTTTTATTGGGTGAGTGGTTATACGGTGTGGCCCTTAACCCAATATCGCTCCACTACTCGAATATAAAAATTTTAATATTATAATAAAAGTGACGGCGGTGCGAACCCATATCAAAAAATGTTTTATTTCCACCCGGCACAAGGCGGAATACATTTTGTATCACAATATTGGCTCCGCCGGGGCTATATTTTGTCTGCCGGGGCGCGGGTGTCAGTGGCAGAAGGTGGAATTGCACGTGAGACCAAATGCTGAATTCCATTTCAGCCTCTGAACTCGTCTATGGTCGACGTGAGACCTTCTGTTTTCTCCGAATGTGTTGGCGCGCATTTCTTGCAAAACGCGCGCTCACAAGAAGCACACACGCGAAAAATGCACCACACAGCTGAATTTGTGATTTATCGATTTGCAAAATGGTCTGATTTCTTGGCTGTCTTTTTCTCCCTCAAGCACCCAAGACATCACATTTATTACTGTGTTGCACATTTGCCTGGCTTGGATATCAATTAAATAATTATATAACTTTTCGTGGAACACTGAAAACACGTAATTTTTTCACATAAATTACACTTCCACTTTCAAAGGAATGCGTATTAATACAGGAGCGGCGCGTTACAGACTTTTTGAATTTGCCAATACACAATATTCATCTCATAATTATGCCATTCAACGACTCGTGTGGTCATCTTTCTGGGTCTGGGATTTGGTGAAAAATCACGGTGTTTTCGCTGGGTGTGAATTTTTCCACAAATAAAGCTACACGTTTTCCAATTTATCAGGTCGTTTTGGAAGTTTCACGACAATTTCTGCTGGATTGTTTAGAAGTTTAACTATAGAAATTACAAAATAATCTCTCTCTCTCTCCCTCTCGGCGATTCAACACGTCATTAAAACGTTGCGTTTGCTTCCAATCAGGACCTTGTCTAATGATTAAAATTGATTATACAGGATAAACAGACTTTCGCACTGACCTGAATATTTGTTTGTGAAATGTGTGAAGTCTCTGATCAAATATTCCTGGCGAGTAATACTAGCGAATATATGGCATCATATAAAATTTGTGTTGCAAAATTCAATTTTATCCCCTTCTTTGTTTCACCCTGCAATTCACCACGCTTTCCCAGCTCTTTCCCTGGGCAAGAGAAAATTGCAATAGCTATAGTGGAGAGGATGCACTCGAAAGAGCGTACAAGAGGAAATCCGATATATTTACCATGGCTTTCACTCTGTTTCTCGTTCAATTTTTATGAGCAGACAAATTGAACACTATGGATTCTCCAAATACCGATTCAAGATATTCCGGGAATTCACTCTTTTCATCCTGTCATTTCGCTTTCGAGTTCGGTGAAAATTAATTACAGGTGTGCTTCACAGTCTGTACTCTGTCGTCTCAAGAGGATACTCACCGGAATACTGTTGATATTCACCACGAAATCGAACTATTGAGCTCAGCAAATGAACTGCCAATTGTATTTTGCTAAAAGCTTTTCGATACAAAATGTACAAAATACTAAATTCAATCTTCTAATATAATTTTACAGCAAATTTCCAGAATTCCTGGGAGAAAATGGATAAACTATTGGACCTCAAAATATGCTTTCTTTATTGTATTTAGCATTTTGCCAGGGCGAAATCAGACCCTGCGGACTCACCCTAGCTGTGAAAATCTGTCATGGCCAGATTTCCCAACTAAAATTGCATCGCAGGTTAGTACAATCACCCCTCCACGCTGTCGCATCCCTCCAGCAGCCCTCTGTCCAATTGGAAATTAAATTGTCGACCGTCAGGGAGCGAAGTTCCATCGAATGGCGCTGTTCTTGCTTTGGTGGAAAATCTCAGAAGAGTTGCGCTACATTTTCGTGATTAAATAACATTGCAGTGGAAGTGAGGATAAAACAACATCGGTGTATATTTGTCCACATTTTGCTCCTGTCTGATAAAATGTTATTCCCTGTGGGAGTTTATTTTTCCACCCCCCACACAATTTCGGAACTTGAGCCATGCCGTGCTTTTATTTCGTGCAAACAATTTACCAACTCTCTGCAGACTTGCTGAATATTTTCCCATTCAGGGACACCAGGTTGCGTTGCTGGTCTCCCTTTTCCGCTTCCAAAAAGCAAGGGACAACGAGTGTTAGTGAAGTGTGTGTGTGTGTGCAGTTTCGGAAATGAGAAAAAAAAAGTCCAGGAAAAAGCAGATTTCTCAGAAGGAAAATCGTTTATGGCCAGATTTTTGCTTGAAATATTTTCATGTGTGTTTCACAACACACCATTAATTAACATTGCTTTAATTACCCAATTTGGATCTTATTTAAGTGAGATTCACCGTCCAGATTCAATAATTTCCACAATGTTGTTGAGCGAACAAGTGCGTAATATCAGCGGTCTAGATTACGCGTTATTCACCTTAGTTCTTGTGATCTCTGTGTTTATCGGTTACTACCATGGCGTCCAGTCCAAAACCAAGCCAAACACCCCCGATGAGTTCTTCTTGGGCAACAAGAATATGAGTGTCTTTCCAGTTGCTGTATCGCTGCTTGTCACCTTTGTATCTGGAATGCAAATAATTGGAATTTCCGCGGACGTGTACGCCCATGGAATGCAGCTCTGGCTCTACGTCTTCACGAACTTCATCATGGTTCTCGTCACATCCTACATTTTCCTCCCAGTCCTCTACGAACTGCAACTGCCATCGAGCTTCAGCTATCTTAAGCTGCGCTTCGGCAGAGAAACCCAATTGCTAGCCAGCTTTATTTACTTGATTGGCGCTTCACTCTTCGTGGCGATTAATTTCTATGTTCCAGCCTTGGTAGTTCGTCACATAACAGGCACTTCCATCTGGCTAACAACTGTGGTGCTGGGAAGTGTGTGTATATTCTACACCGCAATCGGGGGATTTAGAGCAGTGATCTGGGCGGACTTCTTCCAAGCCATCCTGATAATCGTCTGCTGTCTAGCAATAGCCTTCGTAGGCTTAAATCTCGTTGGAGGAAGCAAGGAAGTCTGGAGCAGAGCTCAAAGTGGAGGTCGCACAGTTCTACTCAAGTAAGCAATCACAGAATGTTGTTGAATTTTTGGCATCTAACTTAAATAAATACAAACTCAACTCCTTTCAGTCTAGATCCCGATCCAACACTCAGAATATCCCTCTGGACTATGCTCTTTGGTCACACCTTCCTCACTGTCAACAATTTTGGCCTGAATCAGACATCAATCCAACGCTTCCTCTCCGTGTCCAGTTTGGCTAAGGCTAGAAGAGTCCTAATCCTGTTCTACGCTGGATTCTTACTACTACACATTCTATCGATTGCAACAGGCCTCATTATCTACGCTTATTACGAGTCATGCGATCCCTTAACAGCTGGTTTCATAGAGAAGCTCGATCAGTTAGTGCCATTCTTCGTCTTCGATACTGCTGAGCATTTGCCTGGAATGCCGGGGATTTTCGTGGCTGGAATCTTCTCTGCAAGTTTGTCAACAATGTCCTCGTGCTTGAACAGCATTACTACGTGTTTCTTCGAGGACTTCATTCGACCGTTCTTGCCGCAACTGTCCAAGCAGAAGACTTGCAATCTTCTGAAGATACTAACAGTCATCATGGGGTGTTTGCAGCTCTGTTTAGTACTCATTGTGGACAAATTAGGCACCATTTACACTGTTGTGATAACAATTCTTGGTCTGACATGCGGAACAATGCTTGGACTCTTTGCAATGGGAATATTTCTATCAAAAGCTAACCAGAAGGTATGTTTTATTCTACCAATCAAGATGATTTTCAGGGAGATTTCAGTGAAATATTTGATATTTCTCAGGGAGCAATCAGTGGAACGATAGTTTCTATGCTAACTGTTGGAGTTATCATAATTGGAGGCTTTGCTAGAGTACCTGATCCTCCTCTTCCTCTCAATACTAACGGATGTGCCACCAATTCAAGTGCCCTGATAAACACCACTCAGCCTGAACACGGAGACTTACCACTAATCTTCCGAATAAGCTTCATGTACTACTCCACAATCGGATTCCTCCTGGTTTATCTCATTGGTTATCCCGTGAGCGTGCTCAGTGGCGGCAATAAAATCTCCGATCAGCGTCTCTTGGCGACATTCTTGAGAACTGAAGAACCACATGACATTGAGGAGTTGAAAAGCCTCCCAACTTTCTAGTGGATTGACTTGTTGATCAAATTTATATTGGAAACTCTGATGCGTCCTTTTATCAGTTTCCCTCCGCTTCGTGTCCGCATTCACATCCAAAATGCATGGTGAATAAATGTGATTACAGATGCTCTGTGCTTGTGCAGTCCGGAAAGAAGGGTGGCAGCCTCTGGGAAACTGTCTTGTGTAACTTTCATGTTGTCACTGTGCTTCTCTCCGTCGCCATTATTTGATAATGCGATAAGTGAGGGAAAATAGCTTTTATTCATAAATATACATTGAGTGAATTCTTGATATGGTAAACTTGTTTGCTGTCCCCGGGAAAGTATACCATTCCCCTGTGGTGCTCAAGATGTTGTCTTTCCGATGGGGATTGTCTCTCTTCACTGCCAAAGAGAATTGAAGTACTGCCCTTTGATATATATATATATCGTATATTTTGTGTATTTGTTGTGAAATGTAGTTTTGTATCTGCTAAAAAATATTTTGTTGTAATATTAATTTATGTGAAAACTTTCTGATATGCTTTCAGACTCGTAAGCTTATGTGTGTGTGGGTGAAGTTTTCAGTGGTTTGGGGGAGGTAAATTGAAGAGGGGAACAATATAAAACACAATAACGTGAAAAATTTAGTAAAACTTTCTACTCTCAGGGCAAAAGTTTTCACTGCTGCAAGTCTGGACTCTCGAAACATTACTCGGTCACACAGAGTGCAATTCGCCAGCAGTAAATTTCTCCCTTTATGTCTCAAGTGGCAGTGGAGATAGAGTTTAGGGGAGTGGCGGGGTTGAAACTAAAAATGCATAACTCGTACATCAAATAAATTTATCGTTTGTTGTTCATTGCGACTTTTGAAAATTTAATTTCCCTCCCTTTTCACAATCTTTCACGATGTTCACGATATATAGCATGAATGTAACTTTTGCCCTGAGGCACGAAACTTTCCCTTTTCCACCCCCAAAGAGAGGGCGCAGTAATTTCAAATTAGAATAATTCATACCGTTCAATGATAAGTAATCTCCAGATACATTTCGTAATTAAGTTGAAGTATTGATTCGAGCCCAGCACGCGCTCAATTGAAGTGGGAAAATGGAAAGTATTTCTACTGCTTTCTCGTTGTCGGAAGATTCAATGCCAGATCGAATTGTATCATAATAATGAGGAAACCGATAAGCGAGCTCACACTGGAGGTGATTAGTGTGAAATCCAGCGGGAACATGCCGCAAATTGTGATATCCAATTTGTCCTGGACAATTTGAATGGAGAAAATGTTCACCTGGAAGTGACAAGAGCGGTTGAATTGCCTCCCATTTGGCCAGTGCGTCGCAATTAAACTCACAGATTTCTTCAGGCGCTCATCGGCATGCAACACTGGCAAATTGTGGAGTAATTTGCCAGTTCTCTGGCTCTCCTGCATTGTCTCCATTGACGTTTTAACGTGAAAGAAGAGGTCGACGTATTGGAAGTAGGAAAACAGGATGCTGTACAGAGAGATGCTCCAGTCTGTGCGCTGTTGCCCCATCAGATTCATCTTGATAGTGAAGTAGAGGTAGTAGAGCTGCGCCAGGGTGTTGAAGAAGGCTATTATGATGAGGATAAGCATCTGAGATGCGTAAATCGAGGTGAATTTCCTCATCATGCCGCAGGCTTCGCAGTGGAAAATGCTCAATTGATCGATAAGGTCGCTCTTCCTGCAGTATTCGCTCATCTGATTGAATTGACTGAGATGCCGAATGTTCTTCATTTCCTCAATGGCTCTTGTGAGGGACTCATTGATGATTTTCAGATACAGTTGCACCCTCAAGACGCCCATGTAGAAGAAATTTCCCGCAAATGTCTGAATAAAATATGGGCACATGAAGACGAAGCAAGAGTACCACATCTGAAGTGGATTCGTGATGTTTAGCATTTCATTCATCCCGCGAAGGTACAGATAACCAAAAGTAATTGCGAACAGAGTCACCAGAAAGGCTTTTCGGATGAATAGTAGGAACACATTCCAGACGAAACTCGTACAATTGCTACACAAATCATTGATTTGAATGTGAATTTGATGAATATTGTTAAGGATATCCATCAGCACATCCGCCCTGATAAAGTGAATGACATAGATCAGGATCAGAGAGAAGTAATTCAGGCACACTTGCACAAAAGTCGTCAATCCCATCGTTGACTTGAGAGACATTAAATTCCGATTGTACACTTCCAACTGGGAAAAGGCATAAGGGTAGTAGATCACAATAGAAACTGCCAAGACAACTGACCATATCTTGGCGATTGGGTTGAGACTGTACTTCCCAGTCTTCCTGTTGAATCTCGACAGCAACAGTCCGGAGATCAGTCCAATGCCAAAAGTGTAGCAAGTGATCGAAAACACAGCGATTTTGGCAGGTTTTGAAATTGTTTGTATCTTTTGTGCCTCTTTGGAATCCATTGCTCAAGTGGCGCATTTCACAGTCGAAACAACACTGAGTGTCCTACCAAAGGACCTCCTGCATTAAATAGCAGTCAAATCACTAATTCACATTCACTTTCGGGGGGTTCATCAGATGAGACAGCGCACCACCCCGAAAAGTTGTGCAGCACAGCATTAAATATTCCAAGAGACAAGGCGAAGTGAAGTGTTTTTCAGCATGAACTTTCCGTATGAATTTCCACAGAGGATATACGGTTTCTAATCCTATATTTTCAACTAATTTCAAACTTCTCGCATGCTCTTTCGCAACATTGTGGGCCAACTTTTCGCCAAAACCGCACACTTCACGGCTGGCTAATAATGTAAACAGAGGCCTTTCTGCTTAGATACCTCCAGGATACAGAGAGAAAAAAAAGGAAGCGGAGAGGAAAAACAGCTTCCAGTGATACTTTAGCAAAGTTTACATAAATTCCTCCTGCTTTTGATATTAAATTTCAAACACACACAGACACAGATGAGTTGGGAGATGCTGGAAGTTCTTGGAGAACTTGCTGAAAAATGCATCACAAAGTTTTGGGTGACGTAAAACAATCATACTGCCCAAGACGTTGATTTTCGTGCTGTAGGACTTTTGCTCATCGGTGCAACTTTATCGTCTGCACAAGAGGCTGTCTCGGGTGGCGAATGTGCTTCCTGGAAGAGTGTGTTAAATGTCAACACAAGTGATCAGGTATTGACATGCTGTTAAACGGCTGAAGTGGGCGGAGAATTCGAAGGGGCGGAAACATACTGCATAAGTGTCATAAATACTGTGAAAATTGCTATTAATATCGTTCAATTGGGAGTCAAGAAACTCTCAAGGAATTTGAGACTTTTTAGCACTTCTGCAGTGAGTTTGTCACAATCACAGGTATAAAGTTGCTTTCCGTAAAAAATAAAAGTAGGAGAAATCGTCGATACAAAAGTTTCTGCTTTGAGATTTGATTACAATTTTAATGATGCCACACAAATTATCTTCGTCCAGAAAGACGGTGTCAGTCTCTGGATATCTGACCGCTCATTAAAAAGTCCGTTCACAAATCACCACATTCTCCCCTGGATCCCTGGCGGGAGAGAGAGAGTCTCTGGATGGGTGCGTGATTATTCGGGGCGGGTTGTAAGAAAAGGCTACGAACAGCGTCTGGACTCCCACGTACAATTTATGGCTATCTGTACGTGAATTGTGGACGAATGGTGGGTATTCATTTGCTCTGCAATTACACCAGGGAATTGTTTTAAAACTGCTCAACCCTTCGTTTTAATTATCACCAGCGAATAGAAATAAATTCCATTCAATTGACTAGACTCATTTCAATTCAGGGCGCATACACAAGCCGAAAGGGGTGGTCGCTCCGGGGATTGCGTGGGGGGCGGTGAAAAGGACAAACAAAAAATGACTGTCCAATTATTCGGAATTAATTCTTATCTATCGACATTGAATGCTGGAGTGCGTCCATGAGATTAATTAAAAATTGCATTGCATTCCCCAAAAATGTCATCAATTTATCGCAATGCTGGGGATTTTTGGGCGAGAATGAATGCTCTTTGTCAAAGTCGAATGCTTTTATACATATAAAATATTCAATAGTTGCAATTTAAAATTAAATATAACCTTTCACTATGCAGAACAGCGAAACGGCGCGAGTGGAAAAAAGCGATACAAGCCCCAGAAAATGTAATTGCTGCTGGGCCATTTGCATTGTTTCTGTGGGCAGCATGAAAGGGGTGTGGAAATGCGTATGTTGTTTGGAAAAGTCAAAATGTGGCAATTATATTCAGCCAATTTTCAGCCGCTTATTTATCCTATATATGGCGATTTGCGCATTGATATGGGAATTTAAGCTTTCCACGAAATTATTAGGCATTTTTATCGCCACCCAGAGTGGGTGGCGCGATGCAATCGCTCACGATGCTTCATTGCTGAATGTGTGGCGTTTGCTCGGTAAAGAGATTTTCATGTGTGCCACTCACACTGAGCAAACACAACGTGATTCTTCATACTTTTAACCATTGAACTCTCCTGTGATCGTTCAAACGACAGAGGACGATTAAAATATAATCTTCCCCGTCGCATTTGCCAGCATGCCTGCGATCTTTCATTAAATCTCCCCTTTCGCACGGCCTTTGAGGTTTGTTCAATTTGGTGTGTTTGATTTTGCTCGTGCATCCCCAGCCATACGCTAAAACTACACATAAAGGGTGCGATTGGGAGTTTGCCATCCTTCAAAGAGAGGGTGACTATCGAGGCCATCACAGAGATTACAAGCTCTAAACTCAATATGGGGTTTTGCTTGTATTCACTTATGTTCCCATGCAGCTTTTTAGAGATGGTTGAAGCTAAAATCCCCTGCAACGGGGAGATATTGTGGTGGAAATGGTGCACAAGTTGTCAAAGGCAGAGGTGAAAGTGTATGAAAATACAGCAATTCTCTATTTAAAAGTTTTCTTTTTCAAACAAAAAGCCAACTAAAGTAAAGAGTTCTCAGGGATTTTGAGACTTCTAATGCATTTTCTTTTCTTCTTAACAGAGCTGAGCTGAAGTAAGAAGTTAAAAGAATAAACAATTTTTGAATGCAGTGCAAATTGCAAATTATTTATGTTAAATTATGACAAAAAAAATTGTTGAAAATTCAAGCCATTAATTTCTATGTTTGTATTTTTCTTTCCAAACACACACAACATTCAGCTCAGAAGCTTTCAATTCCAGAGCCGCAAAGTGGAATAGTGGAAAGCGAGCTTGAAAGCGAGAGAGTGAAGGAAATGAGCTTATTCACTATGTCAATTTCATAAAATATCATCTTTCACCCTGCAAGGCTTTCTCTGCCATAAATATAGTAAACTATATCAGCTTTCAGGATGTTGCAATGGTCTGGATGCGGTATTTGACCTCCTGAGTGGGTTGAACGGGTGCAAAAGCCACAATTTAAATCGGCTTTCTCCGAGTGAGAAATACCAAATGATCCCCCAATGTGAGAAATTGTGCAGAGAGCTTCTCTCCCTCTAGGCAGTGCTCGGAACTGGCCAAGGAGATCGCATTAAGTGCACGTGCATCGATAGGATTTGTGTGTCCCATCCACACATCCAATTTCGACTCCACTCATGGGGAATCCCCGAGTAACGAACCCACCCCACACCCTCACTTAATGCACTAGTCCCGCGCACTCTTCCGAACCACCCTCAGTTGCAGCTTGCGATGCTGCGAGTTGGAAATTTAATCAAATACCAATAAGTTTAATCAAATATCAATGAATATTGTGTTTATTCGTGTGTACTTTCCAATTCTCCCCTGGCCCACCCCAATCCAATTGCCCTCACACCCCCGCATTCATATTCATTTCCCATCAAATATAGTGAGTGCCTCACACACACACACACAACCCACATTTCCCCGAGAGGCTCAGCACCACACATTTACTTACTGAATTGCGTTTTTCACTAAATAATAACAAACGACCCCCACCGATATATTTACTTCCATCTCCCAGAGTTTTCCGCGGCTGTTGTTCAACTTTTTACCATCGAATTTCATTCAATATTTCGCGCTCTGCTGACTTCTTCGACAATACCGTGGATATTTGGCTGAGCAGATGCTTTGTTACACCGGCAAAAATTAAGCATGCTGGCGTGATTACTTCACGCCAATATTTGTCCATTGCGAGAGCACACATTGTAGTTTCCTCTTGTCCACGTTGAAGCCATTTTCACCATTTCCACTATCGCCCTTTTACAGCGCGGATTTTTACATGTTCGACCCAAATGATGGTCGAAATTCAGTGAGGCAAACTATGCTATTTCCTGCGCAGCAGAAAAAAAAAACGAATAATACCGCGCTTTAAGTCACTTTCTCTTTGAAGATCCATTTACAAGTTTTTTAATTACTACGCCAAAGCTAAGTAGTTTTGAAGTGTATTCTCCTCACACTCAAAAGCTCCAACTTTTCCCCACACAAGAACTCCATTTGCCATTTTAATGCGCTCCTCACTTTTTAATTGAATTTCTTATCACATGCTGAAAGGAATTCTCGATGTGACTCATTTTTCTTGCACAGCGTGGCTCACATCAATATTTCATGTCAAATGCCAAAGATGCAAAATCCGTTTTTTTCTGCCACATAAAAAATTCCATGAAAAATAAATCCCCGATATGGCATGTGGAGTGAAAGGGGTGGAATGCATTTGACTGCCTTGTGGGCAGAATGCTGAGCTCCCCTTTCGTTGGGGGGGTGGGGGGGAAATGTCACAGTGCGATACAGATGGTGACCAATTTTTTAGCCATCATCGCAGTGGGTTGGGGTGTGTAAGAAAAAATTATCAGGTGAAGAAAGTGGAAAGTTTTAGTGAAAGGAAATTTCCGCAGAGGTCGGCGTGCGAGATAAGGCGCAAAGTTACGGGTGAAGTTGAGGTGGCCCGATAAAAGGATGGCCCTTTTTATCGCATGACTCCTTTCTCAAGAGGAAATCCCTCTAAACACTGACTCTAAGTGCACCCCTGCCGCCGCGCAGGGGAGGCCAAAGTGTTATACTTAAATCGCTGTGTTTCGCTCCTCTCATTTTCCCACCCCCCTCTCGACCCCACAGCGCAGGAGGGTTGAAATGGAAGAGGCGTGATAGGGAAACCTCTAACGTCGGCGACGCTGGAAAATAAAAATGTTGACATGCAATTTTCCTAACAAGGCAAACACATTTTTCCTGCTTCGCATTGTTGAACTTCCATTTCAATGTAAGGAGCTGGAGAGCGACAAGAGTGGGTTCAGGCAGCATGGCTATATGTATAAAATATTCCCCATTGAGACGAGCAATATCCATTTTCCATTTCACATTTAATTTACACCCATATCACACCATGAATCCCTCATCCGTGCGCCACTCGCCATACCCAGCATGCTGAATCATATATCATAGAGTTGCTCGCGAAAATTCACTTTGAGCAACTCAAAGTTTGGTGTTCTCAAGAAAGTGTACACTTTCGATACGCCGCACG